AAATAAAAAAATTAACCGGGCCTGGTGGCACGTACCTGCAGTTCCAGCTCCTCAGGAGGCGGAGGCGGAGGATTGCTTGAGCCCAGGAGGTGGAGGCTGCAGTGAGCTATGATCACACCACTGCACTCCAGCCTGATCTGCAGAGCAAGACACTGTCTCAAAAAAAGAAAAGAAAAATAAATACTTGAACCTTGCAAGTGTTTTGAGCATTCTTATTTTAGCATTCTATCTAATCTTTTCTCCCGTAGCCCAGAATGTCGTGGTAATCAGTAATGATCCCAGAACTTTGGTAGGCTGAGGTTGGGGGGCATCCCTCGAGCCCAGGATCCTTCCAGCCCAGGAGTGTGAGACCGGCCTGAGCAATATAGTGAGACCCCATCTATAAAAAAAAAAATTTTTTTTAATTCTCTGGTTGTGGTGGTACATGCTAGTAGTCCCAGCTGCTTGAGAGGCTGAGGCAAGAGAACAGGCGAGCCCAAAGCTACAGTGAACCGTTATGAAGTCACTGCATTCCATTCCCTGGGGGGACAGAGTGAGATCCTGTTTCTAAAAAAATAAGAAGAAAAGAAAATAGGTACTTCAGATTCACAAGTGCTTTGAGCATTTTTTTGTTTTGTTTTGTTTTTGAGATAGGGTCTCACTCTGTCACCCAGACTGGAGTACCGTGGCGTGACCTCAGCTCACTGCAATGTCCACCTCTAGGGTTTAAGTGATTCTGCCTCAGCCTCCCGAGTAGCTGAGACTACAGGCATGCACCCCTACACCTGGCTAATATTTGTATTTTTAGTAGCGATGGGGTTTCACCATGTTGACCTGGCTGGTCTCAAACTCCTGACCTCAAGTGATCCGCTTGCCTCAGCCTCCCTAAGTGCTGGGATCACAGGTGTGAGCCATCCCCCACTGCCCCCGCCTTGGCCAAGCAGTTTGTTTTAATGATAGTAAGTATTGAAGTCTACAGATTCAGAACTTACACAGTGTTTTTCTTTCCATATAATTTGGAAAAAATGCTTGAAATTGGCCTGTATTCCCCCTTAAAACTGATGGAGCTGTCTTGTCTGTTTTTTCCAATCATTATTCACTGGTCTTTTATTTTTCCAGAGTGGAAAATACAAACTCCTCTTGAAATGTAAACTTTTCTTGAAATATCTGTGGTTTTTCCATAGAATTGTTCCTGTGTGGTAATGTTCGTGTTTTCCTTGTAACGGCGGTCACTCACATCCGTCCCATCACATAACACAGTTTAGAAACTAAACTAATTTTTAGTAAATGCAGAACACGGTTCCTTTCATGGTTCTCCAAAAACCCCACTCTACAAGAGGGCTTTTAGCGCTGCCAGGACTCTCTTCTAACTGATGTGGCTGGAATGCCGGGAGAACGAGAGACGGAGGTGACTTTTAGGGCAGAGTTGCTCTGTCAGGACATTTTTCTTTTTTTTAGACTGAGCCTTTTGTGACCCTTTGGACTTGGGCCCAAACAGAGCTCAGAGCTTAAAAACTCCAACCACTCCCCTGGGACCAAACAGCCCCAATGTTGGGGAACCAGGGACTGCTGGGGAAACCACAGGCTCTTGTGAAAGGGCAAAGACTAGCCACAGAGAATTCCTCCTAGCAAATCCTTGAAATCCCAGGAAATTAAATACATACTGAGGCCAAGCTCCCAGACGGTCATCACAAGAGGGCAAGGTAGTTATACACAAAGAGGAAGAATGTAGAAAGGAAATAAAATTGAAACCAAAATCCTCTTTCCCCAGATCCGGAGACTTCCAATCAAATTGTCAGAGAGGTCAGGTTTGAGTGACACCTTGACTTTCACCGTTAGCTCACTTCCTGAGTGATGTCGCGGGAAGTGAGGCTGAAAAGCTGCTGGCGTACCAAGATCAGGACTTAAGATAGCCCTGTTTTCCCCCTGCCCATTCCAGCCTCCATTGGTCCAGAATGTCATCCATACTTGATGCTGTTTGTCTTGTTTACATTGAATTTTTAAAATGCATTATCTTAGGCTGGGCTTGGTGGCTCACACCTGTAATTTCAGCACTTTATAAGGCCCAGGCAGGAGGATTGCTTGAGGCCGGGAGGTTGAGCCCAGCCTGGGCAATGTAGCAAGACCCCATCTCTATAAAAAAAGAAAATTTATTGTTTGTTTTCAAGTGGATTTCTTTGTAATTTTTATTTTTGTTTTTATTATTTATTGAGATGAAGTCTCACTCTGTCACCCAGGCTGGAGTGCAGTGGCACGATCTTGGCTCACTGCAACCTCTGCCTCCTGGGTACAAGTGATTTTCCTGCCTCGGCCTCCGGAGTAGCTGGGACTACAGGCGCACGCCTAATTTTTGTATTTTTAGTAGAAACGGGTTTTCACCATGTTGGCCAGGCTGGTCTCAAACTCCTGGTCTCAAAGTGGTCCACCCACCTCCGCCTCCCATAGTGCTGGGATTACAGGCATGAGCCACCGCCCCCAGCTACTTTTTGTTTTTGAATGGTGATGCTATCATTTTAATAATTGTTTCCTCTCAGGCACTGCGGTGTTCCATCCCATTTTTAGTTTTTCTAACATTGTTGTTAGCATTTTTAAAATTAGGGGCCCTGCTCATCTTCTCTGGATCGTTCCAGTTTTAGTCTGTGCACTGCCGAAGCGAACACTTTGTTTGCATTTTCAATATTGGGAGGCACAGTGTGTACCGAAAAAACATTTCCTAGATATAGCTAGAGTATAAGGATTTCTCATCTGTGTAAAATTTGTCCCCGGGGTATTGCTCTGATTAGATGTATGGAATTCGGAAGCTGGTTAGAAATCATGTAATCAGCACGTCTTCTGCCTTTAACAAATATTGACTGAGTGTCTAGAGCCACTGCGAGGGGCACAGGAGCTTCTACTGTAGGAAGGAAACTGACAGCAAGCAGCCAATCTT